CTTCTCCTCTTTCCCCTTCTCCTTCTCCTCCTTTTCCTTCTACTTATACTTCTCCTCCTGCTCCTTCTCCTCAACCTTCTTTTTCCTTTTCCTCCTTCTTCTGTCTCTCCCTCCCCATCTCTCTTTCTTCTGGTTTGAGATATAATCTCCCACCATGATGTGCCTCCCTCACCAAAGGCCAAAAAGTGAACTTGCCTAATCTTTTTGGAAAGGGGCACTGCGAATTGAACACAGCTTGCCCAGGCTTGAACCTGAACCTCGAAAACTGTGAGCTAAATAAACCTTTGCTCTTTATAAAGTTAGTTGCCTCTGGTATTTCACTGCAATCATGCAAAGCTGACTAGTGCACAACTCATAGCAAACTCTGCATTCAGATCCTTTGCCTGTTTTTGTCTTTTTCGCATTAACTTGGAATAGTTTTACATATTCAAGACATAAATTATTCTTAGTTATATGACTTGTTCCTTCTACAATTGTTTGTTAGGATTATTTTGGGGAAAACTTGTTATTTTTCTCCATTTATTTATTCATTTATTTATATCAGTATGGACTCTTGGCTCCCTATTTTATTCAGTGGATTATAATCTGATATTCATTCTACTTACTTCTCAATTTGCTCTAGCTTTGTCTATGGGAGATTGCACAGGCTGGCTTCTCTCTCCTTTTGCATGCCTCTTTCATTTTTTGAGACTTTCATTACTTTGCAGCACAGTAAGATGTTCCTGTACACTTTCCCTGTCTCATTTTGAATCACCCTTTCTCTGCACTTTTTCTCCTTTTGGTGCAGGGATATTTAGAAACGGAGGCCTAAGTGCTTGATAGGTTCGCTGTTACTGAGGTGTCACTGTCTCGGGGGGCAGACCTAGTAAACATATGAATGTGCAAAGGTTCACAACAGATAAACCTGAATCATTACAATTTCTATATCTATCTGCATATGTGTATAAGTGATGTACCTATACATTATTATATGACTATTACATATTTATATATATGGCACACACACACATATATATTATATATATGTAATTATTTTTAAATGATGGTTTGAATGCTAATCCAACACCTCTGGCTTCCTTCTAGTATTCTCCCTTAACATCTTTGTGAATCTACCCACCAGTGGGAAGAAATCAGTCTCCATTTATCAGTACATTTGCCTAGTTGTTCAAGTAAGTAACTCATTTGTGTAACATAACCAGTCTCCAAAGGTGTACTGTCTCTGTCCACCATGTATACACCCCACCTCCAGTGCCCCCTGTCCTGGACACCAGCCCTGCTGCTGGGACAGCCTCCATGCTGGAAGGCAAGGGAAGGGAAAAGGATGGGAACAGAAGAACTGGACGCAGTACTTCTTGTGTAAGGACTCAGGTGATGAATTTCATCTGGCTTTTGATGCTGGGAAATACTTGATAGCTTCAGGTTACTTTTAGGCTCTTGCGACCCAGCCTAACTTCTGTTTGCTTACAGTGACAACCCTCCCCTTTGTCCGGCGGAGTCTTAGTCACTCACGAAGACTTGACTTCCCTGTCCTTGCAGGAAAGGTGCTTTCTCCGTGTGCTCTCTTCACCACTACTTTTGTATGGTGCCAGGAAATAGAAACAAGCATAAGAGGCAAACTAGAAATGGGCAAAAATACTGGCAATGCTGACATTTTAATCATCTACTCAATAGACAAATGGGTGGAGGATGGGAGCAAAACACAAGAAAAGATGCCCAACCTCGCTTTCAGTCAATCAAATGCATAAAAAAGAGACCTTGTTCTTCCTTTTCCAACTACTGACAGTGACAAAGCACGAGAATGAGAGGTACAGTGAGGGCCTGGGGGGACTGCCCTCTCCTTGCACCTTTCGGGGTTCAAGCTAGTGGTATTGACTGTCTTTTGATCCAGCCGCCCCATTTCTTAGGAATTTATTTAAAGAAAATGAGAAGAATAATAGTAAACATATGTACGTTGTTATGAGTTGAAGTCAAATGTCCCCTAGAAGCCTCATGTATGTGGCAGGTAATTGGAGTGTGGGGGCGTGATCCTCATCGGTGAAGTCATCCACTGCCGAGTTCATAGTGAATGCGCACTTAGGAGGCGGGGCCTGGCTGGAGCGGTCACTGGGGTGTGGCCTGGAAGGGTGGATTCTTGTCCCTGGTTCCTCCTTCTCTCTCTGCTTCCTGGCTGCCTGGGTTGAGTACATTTTCCTCCACCCTGCCCCTCTACCATCCTGTTTCTGCTTCGGAGCCAGCCGACCATAGGCTGAAATCATTAGCCAAGATAGACCCCTGCTCCTTTAAGCTGCGGACGTTGGGCATTGTGTCCAGTGATAGGAAAGTGACTAGGATATATATGGATGTTCACTGCATCACTGATAATAACATCAAACACTGGGAAAATATAAAGTTCGTCATTAGAAAAACAGTTCAGTAACTAATGATAGGATGGAATATAATGCAGTCTTTGAAAGTAAATCCTCGTGCATTGATATAGAATAAAGCTGTATGTATGGATACATAAAACTCTATTTGTCTTACTCGTAACTGAACAACCCTACTTGTTTAATACTATCCATGTGTTGATGTTGTTGTAAAGATATTACAGATTCTAACTTATTTATTCCTGACATAGCCTTGTTTGGTTGGGGCATAAAATACTTCAGAGTCCACCTTCCCAAACACTACCCTCTGCTGACAATGAAGAAAGGGATAAATGTTTCCAAGTGTATGGCCCTGCTCATATTTGTGTATATATTTGTTTTAATTAAAATATACAAAGCTTTCAACAGTGGTTCTTTCTAGAAATCAAGATTAGTTCATGCTAATCATGCACCATAGTTTGAATGCATCCCCTAAAAATCCATGTGTTTAAAACTTAATCACTGAATTCCTGTGTTTATGGTATTTGGAAGTGTGGCCTTTGGGAGATAACTAGGATTGATATGATCAATAGGGTGGGGCATGTGGCTTTGTAGGAAACACAAAGCCTTACATTTACTCAGCCTGGCCTTATGATGCCTCCCTTATCTAAGGATGCAGCAAGACCTTCCCCAGAGGTCACTCAGATGCCAGCACCATGCTGTTGGATTTCCAGCTTCCAGAAGCATGAGCTAAATGGTCTCAGGTTGTCTTAGTCACTTTCTTTGTTGCTGAGACAAAATACCAGACACCCACAGCCTAAAGGAGGAGAGATTTACTTTGTCTCACATTTCAGTCCATAGTCAGCAGACTCCAAGTCAGAACAGCGTGGCAGAGGGGCCTAGCAGAGGAATGATGCTCACAGCATGGCAGACAGGAAGCAGAGAGCAAAGGGAAGAGCCAGGTAGAGAAATAAACCCATCCAGGCCATGCCTTCAGAGATCCGCCTCTTCCACCCAGACCTCAGTGCCTAACAGCAAGTCAGCTATAAGCTCCCATAATACAGCACCTTCCCGAACTCAACCTATGAGTGCGTGAGAACATCTAGATCTAAACCAAAACACAAGTGTTCAGTTCTAAACTCTGGGCTCTAAAATTTTGTTAGTCAGCAGCAAAGACTTATTAAATCTCCAACTCACTAGTAGGAATGGAGGAAAGACTGCATGGAATTTGATTTAGTAAAAGTGGAATAAAAAAGGGGTAGCAATGACCTTCCATCCATCTGCCAAGTCTTCGTTCTATGAACATCAGGGTATCAGCTCATTGTGTCTTTGGAACAAGAAGTAGGTGCTATTAAACTCACCCACTGTATGTCCGAGGAGGCTGAGGCCCACTGTAAAATTACACTGTGTGCTCTAATTACACAATGTCATTCTTGCTTCTCAATGAGATTCTGACCTGAGGATGAGGGAAGGTAGACCCCAGGAGGGGTACGGATCTGGGGTTTGTGTATGTAAGAAAATATTCTCCCAGCCGGGAGTGATGGCACATACCTATAATCACAGCATTCTGAGAAGCTGAAGCAGGAGGATCACAAGTGTGAGTGCAGCCTGGGCAACTTACTGACTTAGTGAGATCCTGCCTCAAAATAAAAAAGGGTAGGGACATAGCTCAGTATAAAGGCCCTGGGTTCAATCCCAAGTGCCCTCTCTCACACACACCCACACCCACCCACACACACACACACACACACACACACTCCAAGAAGAAAAGAGAAGAGAAGGAAAAGATTTGTAACTGATGAGCGTAGAGCAGGCTGAGGCTCACGACTGTCTGGCTTCATAAGAAAGCAACTTCTCAAGTTCTGTGGATCTCATTGTCCAGCTACCTTGCAAGATAGACTCAGACCAAGAAACTGGAAAGAGGCAAGTAGGAATGAAAGCTCTTCCTCATGTACAAACAGCTAGTTCTGGCGTTCGTGCCTGTCATTCACAGGATCACCCCCCATTCCTAGTGATACCGAATTATCATTGCAATAATGACAAACACTTACTGCGTCTTTACTCCAGTCCCTGCCCTGAGTGTTGGCCATGTATTATTTTATCTAATCTTCTCCATACTTCCCTGAATAAGCACTGTTTCCATTTCCATTTCCATTTCCTCAAGGCACAGAGAAGTTAAAGAATTGTCCCAGGGCCAGGAATATAGCTCAGTGGCACAAGCACTTGCCTGGTAAGTGCAAGGTCCTGAGTTCGATTCCTGGTACCAAAATTAAAAAAAAAAAAAAAAGAATTGTCCCAGAGTGACCAAGTCAGAGGGTTGTGACACTTACTGTTGCTGACACCTTGTCGACTGGCTGTCTGGCTTCACGGCCCATAGAAATAGCAGGACAGAGCGAGGACAGAGGGAAGGAAGGGTGACAGCTGAGGAACAGAGAAAAGCGATAAAAGGGAGGTGCCAAACCTCCGAAGCCCTGGTGGCCAGGTCGGAGCTGAGGGCCGCTCATTGAGAGGAGAAGAATAGCCCAGGGCTGCATTGTGCAGGAGGGAGACAGAGCACTTGCGCTCATTCTACTTCGCTTGACCCCAAGTCAATAAAAAATGTTCGATTCAATTTGATGCCTTCTATTTAAAACCAAGGATGTGTGTGATCCATTGCAGGAAGTGATGGATGTTTCTGAGCACTTGTTACTTTCAACATCTGTAAAAAGAAGACCTTCTACTTGGAAAAGTAATTTAGGTAAGTAACTTAATGTGCCAGGTGACAAGGTACCTGACATGAGGTGCTGGTCAGCATCCGGCTGGGATTATCATGCCACATAAAGATGCTTCCTCAGACTTTAAATCGAAGGTGGGAAACTCATTTTTAGTAAAATCACCCTCACTCCTTCTTAGTTATGAATGATAGTGGTGCTTTCCTTCCTTCCTTCCCTCTGTCCATCCTTTCTTCCTGACTTTCTTCTTTCCTTCTGCCTCTTTCCTTCCTTCTCTCCCTACTCTTCCTCTTTCCTTCCTTTCCTCTTCTTTTTACATTCTTTTTTATTTTCTTTCCTTTCTTCCACCTCTCCTTCCTTCCTTCTCCCATCCTTCCACCCTTCCTCTTTTCCTTCCCTCCCTCTCTCTTTCCCTCTTCCCTCCTGTTTTTCTTTCCTTCTCTCTTTCTTTCTTTACTCTTTTCCCTCCTCCCTCTATCCTCCCCTTTCTCTATCTCTCCTTTCCTCTCTCTCCCTTTCCTGCCACCTCTCCCTTCTTTCATTTCACTTTCTGATGCTGTCCAAGGTTGGAGGCTGGGGATGGGTGTTAAAAGCAAAGGACCTGGGGGCTGGGGATTTAGCTCAGCGGCAAAGTGCCTGCCTGGCAAGCGCAAGGTCGTGAGTTCGGTTCCCGGTACTGGAGAAAAACCAAAAACCAAAAAAAAAAAAAACAACAACAAAAAAAACAAAAGCAAGTTAGGCCCCTTAGCAGCTGTGTGAGGAATCAGGGCTCCTTTGCTTCTCCTCAGAGGCCAAGTAGGGAGCTTCTTGGGGTCCCTAGGCAACCTGTGCAGCCAGCCCGCCTGCCCTGGCTCCCTAGCAGTACTGCTCCCAGATGAAGAGCCCCCTCCAGGGGTTGTGGGATTTGGGGGAGGGACTCCCCAGCACCTTATCTCCACCGTCCTGCCATATTTATTGGTGGGGGCCCGGGCAGAGAAGGCACTGCCTGTTCTTGTTTTAACAGTAATTTACATTGCGGGCTGCCCTCGTGGTCCCTTCCCCTCTGCTCAAGTAAGTGAACACAATGTCTCCATCTTGGTTGCCACAGAAAGGGCGCTTTCTCCGAGGGCACCGTGAATTGGCCGCAACTGCGCTCCTGACAGCCAGGAGCAGGGATGATTATCTAGGGCTGATGAGAGCCATTAACGAAATGGAGTGTGCCATCTCCACTGCACAAATATTTTCCCTGACCATAATACCCTCTTAAGGAGACCTCAAGTGGCCCAGCCTTGTCCCCAGCACTCCCAGGCACACCACTGGTCATTTTTCACGGCTGCTGGCATTTGCAGGGAAGAGAGGGCAAGAGAAAGACAGGACCCGAGAGCATCCCAAGAGATCTTGGCCCTTGTGGCCTATTGTACTTTATCTGGAAGACAAAGAAACTCTCAGGCCTTTCTCTAGCGAGTGGCTTAAGCTTCATCAATAAATCAGAGTCCAGATAAAGCCATTCAGATGTGGCCTAGGACTCCTGATGGTGCTCTGCACAGATCCCCTGCCTGGGACATGTAGGACATGAGAGATTTTTAGCCGAATACATTTTGTTTTCCTTCTCCCCGCCCAACGCTCTTTGTCACTTTCGTCCTTTCTGTCCAGCTCCGTGTGGCATAGAAGATGCGTTTGTAGGCCTGAATCAGGGGGATTGTCTCCATCACCAGACCATTCACGCTCGCCCCTCCCCTGTTGTAAAACACAAGCCAGGCCAGAAACAGCGGCCCCATTGTGCTGCCCCATACCACCCAGATTTCACCTCCGTCTTGGTCTTTGCAGAGCCCCCCTTTTTTGTTTCCAGTCAAAAGAAAGCATTTGCTCGGGGGAGGGGCGGGCTGTTCCTATTGCTTCCAGGATCAGGGAGGTTAAAGGGAAGATTGATGGGAGAAAGTTTACCTAGAAAACCAGGATACATTTCTTGCCAGCCGAGGCCAGTGGTTTCATTGTCCTGGGCCATGTTTTTTGTTAATTATCTCTCACTCTCTCCTTTTATCGAGCAGAAAAGTAGCAAAGCGGGGAGAAAGGAACAGGATATAGGGGTCAGGGGTCCACTTGGGCCACCTAGGTGTTCTATTTGACATGCTGGGGTGGAGCCTTGCCCACTTGTGTGCATGGGGCGTGGCAACCATCGAAATCATAACAAAATTGATCCCATTCTTTATGGGGAAATTTCCCACTCATCAGCCCCTGCTCTGGCCCCTGTATCTTTCCTCCTATCCCAGTGTCTTTACCTTCTTTCTCAGTTCCAATCCCCTGTCCACTGTCTCCACCTCTCTTTCTTTCTCTGTCTCTCTCTCTCTCTCTTTCTCTCGCACATGCACACGTTTGCTCACACACACTTTTTCCTTTCTAATTTTAAGCCCCACAAAATGGTAAGGACGGTTGCAGAAAGGACGGGCGAATGGGATGCGGGACCCATGAGAGAAAGACTAAGCAAGTTGGGCCAAACAAGACCATGTTGTCAAGGAAATAAACCTTGGGGAGGGCAGGCATGAAACCACAGCTGCTGCACTTGGCCAGCCTCGGACGCTGGTGGTAATGACAATGATCCTTCGTGGCAGGGCCCCAGCTCCACACATAAATAGGGCTCAGCCTGAAAGGGGAGGAAATGGAACAAAACATTTCCTTGGGTGCCACTGGCAGAGAAATAACATCAATTTCAGTTGGGGTGGGGGCAGCTAAAGAATCTCCCTGTTTCCCCACATTAGCAAAGGCAAATTCATAACTGGCCAACAAAGTACCTTTGAAATGCAGCTGCGCTCCATGAACACACTGCCTTTTTCCAACCAGAGAGACAACCCTGTCTTGATCAGAAAGAAAGGGGAAAAGAAAAAAAAAAGCACACACTATTGAAAAGGCACAGAGAGGGTAGGAGAAGGGGAGGGAAGTGGCTGAGGGCTGAGGGACAGGGAGGGAGGGGAAGTGCGCGGCTTTGGCAGATGCCAACGATAAGCTTTACCTAGTATAATGCGAGCTTCTTTGCCTTTGCTGCGATGAATGGCCACACAGATTCCGGGAGAGGGGCTGGACCAGGCAGCTGTTGGCCAAACGCAGCGTGTGGCCAGGAAGGAAGGCCACTGGGCGGGCCTTGGCCTCCAGGTACCCTCTGGTGCCCTGGGCCCCCCAGCACCTCGGAGGATAGGCAGCTGCTGCCCCTCGGGAAGGGAGGTTCTGGGAATGTCTTTCACCAGGAAGCCGGAGCCAGGAGCTCTGGTCCCAGGAGCCAGGGACAGGCTCCCACTTTGGGATAAGTGATGACCTTAAACCAGCCAAGTCTTGTGTGCAGAAGTCTATAAGATGAATACAAGATCAGGTGTGAACGTGACTAATATTTAAAATGAGTGAAAAAAGTACAACAAATGACACAAGTTAAAAATATGAACATCACAAAATCCACAGATATTGGGGAGACAGGGAGCTTGCGGTACTGGGGATTGAACCCAAGGCCTTCATACTGAGTTGCATCCTCTGCCCTTCTTTACCACAGGGTCTGGCTAAGTTGCTAAGTTGGCTAAACTCAAACCTGAGATTATCTGGCCTCTGCCTCTCAGAGTACTGGAATTACTGGCATGTGCCACCACACCTGGCTTATATGTGTTTGTGACTCTGTTTGTGTGCATATATGTGAGTGTCTGTGTATTTTTTTTTAATTAACCATGCATGCACCTCTGTGATACATTTCCACAGACCCTCTTCTCACACTGTACATTTCAGACCTTGTTTCTCCTCCCCTACTCACCTACTTCCAATGCTGGGCAACACAGGTTGTGTCCATATCACAGTGTGATTTCCAACCTGGCCAGGAACTGCCAAGTGGAGGCTGGAATATTCCTAGAAGCCATTTCCACACCCCAGTGACTGGCAGTAACTGCAATGCAGAGACATCACTGCAAAGCATGACTGCAAGCCCCCTAAAACATGCCCAGTTTAACTAACTGCCTGTTAGCCACATGCCAAGCATGCTCCCTGCTAGCACAACACCCAGAGACACAGGAAAGTGGGAAAGAGAGTCCACAGCCTTAGTGGATTATGGGTCAAACATTTAACAGATGCAAAAGTTACAAAAGCGTGTGAACATGAGAACCAGTTGGCAGGCTTTCCCCAAGCTTTGCAAGAGACCGTACAAATGAGGGTCCTTTAAGTGTTAGAGTTAAAGCTTCACCAAAAGGTGAAGCCTCTGCCCATGTGGCTTTGAACTATTTCTGTACAGTTGGGTCCTGGTCCCCTTGACAGGATGCCTCTCCCACAGGGCCTTCCCTGAAAGACACCAGGGGAAAATCTCTGGGCCTTATCAAGATACTTGTAAGCTGTATATGTCATGGACTGAAGGCCGCTGCTGCAGAATGTGGACCATGTCTTATGCCCATGTGACACCCACAGGGTGTCAGAGTCAGAGTCACTAGCACAATACAGGTCTCAATAAATATGTGCTGCTGCAAAAACAGAAGAATGGGAGCGCTACACTAGGCTAAGCCCTGAGGTTAGCTGGTTTAGGCAAAGGAGGTTTATATCCATGCTTTAGGGTGAGGCTTGGAAGAGATTTTGGATGAGGTGCTGGCTTCAGGAAGAAATTACTAGCTCTGTGGCAGATTGACAACTGGCGGTCAACTTGGAACACCAAGCTGAACTGAATCAACGTGGTGCTGGATATGGAGGGTCCGCCTGAGGACTGTTGCCAACAGCATAAAAGGAGAACTGAAGAGGAAGAAGTTTAGGTGCTGTTGGTTCTCCTGTGGCTGGTGCTTCTCCTGGAGGAGCTTGTCAGCTGGCTTTCCTGATATGAACTCAGCTGTTCTCATCGTTGAAGGAGCTTGGGACCTTATTGCCACTGAGAATGGCTACGGTTCACCTTGGGGGAGCTCTGGTCCTTACTTTGAGTGTTGCTTCCTGGCTCTGGAGGGGAAGATGGTGCACTGCTCAGTGTTCTGGAGAAGCTTGTCACAGTGGCTTTCCTAATATGAACTCAGCTGCTATCATCAGAGGAGCCTGAGATCT